AATATAGCAAGTACTTGTTTCTAATTACAGAAAAGACAAAAAAAAACTCACAAAAAGATATTTTTCAACTTATATTGCACGTAACTGCAGTCTGATACATTAAGGAAAGTGTCAGTTTGAGTATGCACCGACTTCACTAATACGTTTTTTTTTTTTTTTTTTTTTTTTAAGTTTATATGATGATTAGGGTTGTGCTCTACTGTCTTACTTTGAAAATTTCCCCCAAGTCCAGGTAAGTGTGGCTCTCTTCCCGAAAGAATTCGTGGGGCTCCACCTACTGGGTTTTTTTATGCTCTCACGAAAACAACGCCTTGCAGCAGGGGCAACTGGTGCTCTTTCATTTTCATGAAGGCATAATTGTGGTCAGATACATTGAAACGTTTTCTTAGGAATTATTAGGGAATGATATCACAACCCATAGTCTTAAGTTAAGAAACCTCGATTCCGCAGAGGAACGTGGTAAACTGAAGAAAAAACTTCATTTTGGTAAAAAAAACAACAACTTATTTTCAGAGAAAAACGAGTCGGAGTTTCCGTAAGGGAAATTATGTACGAACGACTGTGGAGCCTAAAACTCTTTGAGGGACTAGCCCGAAGAGTTCCCGTGGAGCACGACTTTTATGCTCGTATCAGTCTCATTACACCTATGAACTATTGAAATGCATACTTAGGTTCGACTCCATGTGCAATCAGATAAACTTACTTACAATGGTCCAACAACTCGAGATGGCACCGACTCAAGTTTGTGTCCATGTACAATCAGATAAACTTACATGGATTTTCCAGTAGCTTGAGATGTGCTATCTCGAGCTGTTGGACATCCCTAAGTTTATATTTGCTACCTCCAGCTTCTTCACAATCGATGTGAGTTTATTGAAGTAAGTTTATCTGATTGCATATGGATTCCTACCTGAGTATGCATTTCAACAGATCATGGGTGCAACAAGTGACACGAGCACCATTATCAAGTGAGTTAAGAAGAAAAAAAATGCAAATGAAAGGAGTTTTCTACATACCCCTGTCTGTATTTGGGCTTATGACAGTGCCATATGCAAGCAAATTTCAACGTTGTTGCCTATACCCATGTAGATAAATCAATACTTTTTTTTTCTCTTTTATGTTTGTCGTGAGTCCCGCAAACGATGTGAGTTTATTGAAGTAAGTTTATCTGATTGCATATGGATTCCTACCTGAGTATGCATTTCAACAGATCATGGGTGCAACAAGTGACACGAGCACCATTATCAMGTGAGTTAAGAAGAAAAAAAATGCAAATGAAAGGAGTTTTTTACATACCCCTGTCTGTATTTGGGCTTATGACAGTGCCATATGCAAGCAAATTTCAACGTTGTTGCCTATACCCATGTAGATAAATCAATACTTTTTTTTTTTCTTTTATGTTTGTCGTGAGTCCCGCAAACGAGGATGTGCAGTCCCTTTGAAAACTGCGTCGATACTTTTCCTCAAAAAAAGTGCAGATGCAAACAAACAAAGATTAAAAAAAAAAAAAACGTGACATCTAAAAAAAAGAAAACGAGGTGCGTGCCAACCTTTTTTTTTTTGGGCCTCTATCTTGTAGGTGCAACTTTGTTTCTATTTTTCCTTTCTTCTTTTGCCTCTTGTCTCGTCTCTCTCCCCTTCCTCCCCCCTCCTCTTTTTACCACATGTTTCGTCCACACGTGTTTCCACAATCGTAGATGCACCACTAGGATCACTCGCAGTCCATTTGCCTCTTTTCTTTGGGCCCACCGACTTCCTTCTTAGTTGCACTACCGGGCCTTCCCCGAGCCCCAAGAATGTCGACTAGGCGACAAGATTTTTTCAGCAAGGATAGGGTTGTGTATTAGTGGTTTAGTGTTAGGTAGGATACTTAAGATAAAGCAATTTTGAAGAGTTGAGGGTTCGAGAGTTCCCATTGCTTCAAAAGGCTAAAGGCATTGATTGGCTAAACCGGAGCTGGGTAATGGACCCAGTGCTATGTTTCACCGAAGTTGTTCGCAGCCAAGAGGCTGCGCTCAGTACGATTGCGTTTTATCATTTAGCACAACTTTCTGCTTATGGAAATGTCATGCGGTGCTGTGCAGGGAGGAAGGGGTTGTAGTGGGGTTTTCAGAAGGGTTTAAACATTGCCGGTCGTTGTTAAGTCTAAGACCGGTTGGGGAGGCAAATTGGGAGGAGGCAATTGTCGGTACGTGGGTGGAGGTCGCAAGGTTTGTGTATCGGTCGTGGGTTGGTGTTTCCTATTTGAGAGGTGTTTCCTACTTCGGAAGTGTTTCTTTAGGCACTTTTTTTTTCTTGCTAGATTTTGGGAATTATCCGGAGGGAGGGGGGCGTGGTGTGTTGTATGTGGACAGTTTGTCGGGAGGAAGGGGGTCGTGGTGTGTTGTATGTGGACGGTTTGTCAGGAGGGAGGAGGTAGTGGTGTGTTATATGTTGACTCCTTAAGAGGGAACTTGAAGGAGAGGTGGATGCGGCTTGTCGAGAAGGAGGGGGTCAACAGTGGGTTGGGATGGGTATATGTTCGTCTGTACATCAGTGTGGACTACTGAAACTGGACATTTCTTTTAGATGTGTGGGGAGTCTTGGTGGTTGGCTGGGTTGGACTTACGTATGTCTCGCTTGGATTTATGAGTGGCCGGGCAGTCCGCTCCAGGGCCGTACAGGTCGTCTTTCACCGCGGTTAACTTTGGAAAAGCAATCATCGCTAGTGCCTCATTTCTTGCAACGCCCCAACATGGGCGATGGAGAGTGGGTCATTCTCTCTCTCTCTCTCTCTCTCTCTCTCTCTCTCTCTCTCTCT